TATATATATATATATATATGAGAGAAATATATATATTATAATACATATATTATAATATATATATATAATAATACATATATATACATATTTTATTTTTGTACTGGGATCAATCTTGGGACCTTGCACTTGGGAGGCAGGCGGCGGCATCACTGAACTAAATCTTAGGCCTCTCTCTCACATTTTTTACCGGGAGCACTTTGCAAACAAACTCAAGATACTGCATTATTTCACCCATACACTCATACACTTCAGAATGTATCTTTTTTTTTTGGGTACCAAGGATTGAACTCGGGACCTTGCACTTGCGAGGCAGGCGGTGGAACCACTGAGCTAAATCCCTGGCCCCAGAATGTATCTTTAATGGATGAGGACTTAAGAGGCAAAAATCCACAGTATCTTTCCAGTATCTGAGCATTTCATAATTTAAAAAAGTCAAATCCCCTTTCCTTCCCTTCCCTTCCCCTCTTCCACCTCTTGTAATCCTTCCCATTTGGAAAAGTTCTTCCCACATCTTAATATCTATTCTCTATATTTCTCATTTATACTTTGGGTTATAAATTTTAGAACCACTTTGCCAAACTTCCAAAAAAAAAAAATAGTGATGTCTTTACCAAACTATGACTTCTACTCCATGAACATCTGGGCCTTGCCATTAACTTAAGTTACCTTAGTAAGATTTTTAATATCTTTTAATAACAAGTCTTGTATATCTTTTGCTAAATTTATTCCTAGATACATCATATATTTTAATGCCCTCTAACAGGAAACTCTTCAATAATCACATGCTTTATTTCTTGCTGATACATAGAAATGAAATTACTTTTGGAAAACTCTCTTATAAAACTAATCATTCACTGAAGATACTTTGGGGTTTCCAATTAAATACATGATACACTGTCTGACAATAATGCTAATTTCTTTCTTCTTCTTTGATCCTCATGTCTTTTCCTTTTCTTGTTCTACCTTACCAACTAAGATTTGCTACCATAACATAAAAGTAATTTGTTTTATTTTATTTTTTGTGGTACTGCAGATTGAACCCAGAGTCTTCACACTAAGTTACATCCCCAGCCCTCCCTCTGTTTTTATTTGAGACAGGGTCTTGCTAAGTCACTAAGTTGTTCCAGCTGGACTCCCAACTTGTGATCCTCCTGCCTCAGCCTCCCAGAGTGCTGGGGTTATAGCCATTTGATGGTGGGCTCCCTTATCTTGCCTCTTACCTGAAAGGGAATGCACGCTTTCAAGTTCCCCAATTAAAATATGATATCTACTTTTGGGTTTTGCAAAGATATTAGGTGATGAAAGTTCCCTTCTATTTAGGATTATTTTGGTTAAAGTAACATACTGAATTCTATCAAATGTTCATTTTGCTTCTAATGGGAAGAGGATAGATTTTTCCCCTTTAATATGTCACTGTGATAAATTACATTAGTCAATTATTATTATTTTGATTTTTTGAGACAGGGTCTGGCTATGTAGTTCAAGCTGGCCTTGAACTCACTATGTAGCCTAGGCTGGCACTGAATTTGTGGTGATCCTCTTGCCTCGGCCTCTTGAGTGTTAGGAAAATTTTAAAATATTAAACAATTGTTAAGTCTTTTGGGTAAACCAAACTTGGTCACAAGTATTATCTTTTTAAACATTGCTGGATTCAATCTGCTAATATTTTATTTGGAAGTTTTGCATTTACATCCATGATTAAGAATGTCTTGCAATTCTGGAACATTTTTGAACTGTCCTTGTCAGGTTTTGATATAAAGATAATCCTAGAGATGTGAAGTCTTCCTTCTTTTCCTATTCTCTGAAATAATTTGTAGGCTGGAATATTTGCCCCTTGGATACTTTCTAGGATTTATCAGTAAAACCATAAAATCCTGGCACTGTATTTGTGGTAGGACTTTTGTTCTTGATCCAATTTCCTTAATTAAACAAATATTTGGATTTTATATTTCTTCTTGAGTGAGTTTTGTAAGTTAAACACTAAAACTGTATCCATCTTACCAAAGTTTTAAAAATGTATCAGCATGAAACTATTCGTAATATTTTCCTACCATCTGTTTAATCTCTGTGGCATATATAATAACGTCTCTATTCCTCAACTGTTTATTTTTCTATTCTATGATTTTCCTCTTTTATCTTTATTATTGTTTATTTTTCTTTACTTT